CCCTCATAAACAATTCAATTCAATTGGAATTAATATTTATTGAGTGCTGACACCAGGCATGGCAGTATAGTAGATGCTGTGATAGAACTGCTACAAAAAAAACAGGAGAAAACCAGTGTCCTACCTTGAAAAAAAGAGAAAGCAGTCTTTTTTCTTCAAGGCAATAGGAATAATGTAGCAACAGCAACCAGTGCACTACAAGATAATATTAAAGGTTATTTAATTCAGTCACCGTTTATTAACCATTCACCATATTCAAGAAAACCAATATATCCTAAACCACACTTAAGGAGGCTATGTTGACAAGGACTAGAAAGAGGAATGTAGATTTTGTTTGAAGGAGGGAGCTGCACCATTTGTCGAGAAACAGATTTTTGCCATACCTCATGTGTGAATAAGTGGGACTATTCTCTCAGCCAGATGTAGATAAATAGACCCTCATTTGTTGGCTTATCTGGAGTGTTCTTATTTGTCTGTTTGTTGTTTGTTTTGGTTTAATGGTCTCAAAGTTCTTTTATACTTTGCTTTATTAAGCTAAATTTTGCTGCCCAAACCAGCTCAGACTGAGTCATTATGGCAAACTTTGGGCCAGCTATTTTTTAGATAACTCCTATTAATAATACAAGTTCTAGGTTTACAAATGTTAACCACTATATATAAAAATAGATTTTTGAAAAAGTTCTTCTGTATAGCACAGGGAACTATATTCAATATCTTATAATAAACTTTAATGAAAAAGAATATGAAAATGAATATATGTATATATATCCATGACTGGGGCATTGTGCTGTACATCAGAAATTGACACATTGTAATTATACTTCATTAAAAAAAAGACTTACTGTAAAACTATAGTCATCAAGACAGTGTGGTATGGGTGAAAGAATAGACAAATGGAATAATGGAACAGAATAAAGAGACTGTGATAAACATTGTCAACTGGTCTTTGACAATGGAACAAAATAGTTTTTTCAACAAATGGTGCTGTAACAATTGGACATCCACATGTTAAAAAAAAAATCCAGACACAGAACGTTACACCCTTCACAAAAATTAACTCAAAATAAATCACAAATCTAAATGTGAAATGCAAAATCATTAAACTCCCAGGAGACAATATAGGAGAAAACCTAGATGACATTGGATATGGCAAGGACTTTTTAGATACAACACCAAAGGCACCATACAAGAAAGAAATTATTGATAAGCTGGAGTTACAAGGATGTAATGTACAGTGCAGAAAATATAGTCAGTATTTCTAATAACTTTCAGGGAGTGTAATCTATAAAAATATTGAATTACTATGTTGTACACCTGAAACTAATATAATATTGTAAATCAACTATACTTCAATTTTTCTTTTAAAAAAAGCAAGCTAAAAGAAAACCAAAGACAATGGAAAGAAAAAAAATAATGAAAAGGCTGAAGACTTTAACAGGCACCTCACAATAGAAGATATATAGATAGCAAATAAGCATATGAAAAGATTCTCCTCATCATAAGTCATCAGGGAAATGCAAATTAAAATTAGATACCACTATGCTTCTATTAGAATAGCCAAAATCAGTAACGCTGACAACATCAAATTGTGATGAGGATGTAGAGCAATAAGAACTCTCCTTCATTGCTGGTGGGAATGCAAAATGGTACAGCCACTTTGGAAGACAGTTTGGCAGTTTTTTACAAAACTAAACATACTCTTACCATATGATCCAGCTATTTCCCTCCTTGGTATTTTCCCAAAGGAGTTAAAACTTATGTCCACATAAAAGCCTGCAGCTATAAGCTGCTATAAACATGCTATAAACAGGGATATTTATAGCAGCTTTATAATTGCCAAAACTTAGAAGAAACCAAGATGTCCTTCAGTAGGTGAATGGGTAAATAAACTGCACACCCAGACAGTGGAATATTATTCAGCACTAAAATATTGAGCTCTCAAGCCATGAAAATGCATGGAGGAACCTTAAATGCATATTACTAAGTAAAAGAAGTCAATCTGGAAAGGCTACATACTGATTCTGACTATATGACGTTCTGGAAAAGATAAAACTATGGAGACCATAAAAAGGTCAGTGGTTGCCAGAGGGGTTAGTGGGGAGGGGTGATGAATAGGTGGAACACAGGATTTTTAGAGCAGTGAAAATACTGTTATTGATATATGATATTATACATATGTAGCACATGATACTGTAACACTGAGTACATGTCATTATAAACTTGTCCAAACCCATAGAATGTACACCACCAAGAATGAACCTTAATGTTCAAACCATGGAATTTGGGTGATTATGATTTGTCATTGTAGGTTGGTTTATGAGTTGTAACAAATGTACCATTCTGACAAAGGATGTAGGGAGGCGATGCATGTGTAGGGGCAGAAGAGATATGGGAAATCTCTGTACCTTCCTCTTAATTCTGCCATGAACCTAAAATTGCTCTTAAAAAATGAAGTCTTTTTTTTTTAAAGAAATAACTTGGTCTTTGTACAACCCTCAGAACAAGATAGGAAATTTAATTTTAAGTAACTACTTCTCTTCATGACCTAGGAGTTTGTGTTGCCAATTGATTTCTTAGGAAAATGAGAGGAGAGTTTTCTGACTTGTTAAAATTACAAAGACTACATATAAGTTTTTATTAAATAATAACTATTATTAAAATAAATGGACTGCACCATGTGTTCTGTATGTGATTCTCACTACGATACTGAGTTAGATTACTCTATTCTCATACAGATAAGAAAACTGAGACACTCTTTTATTGTTTTCAGATCACCCATTAATACTGTCTACTATACAGAAATTATGCATTGACAAGAACTGTGATACTAGGCAACTTCAATTACTAATATGTAAAGGAAACATCTCTTCAAACTTAGTGTAATCCTTTCTAGGCCCAAAGAATTTATGCTTTCAGTTCTACTCAAAGGCTTTGAGATTCCTAATAGGGGAGAGGTAGGTATCTAATGATAGAAAAGGCAGATCTCATCCAACAGTGAACTGTCTAGGAAGACAGAGTGGAAACATAAAGAGCTAATAACACCAGAGATTTTCTTTGTAAGGTTATCTTTCATACATTAAGTATACAGAAGAGCCTGCTTAAATGGATATGCTTGTTGTAGAATCTTTCTTTTAAGAGGGGGTTCTTTTCCTTACTCTGCACTTCAGTTGGGAAATACTGTCAGAGAGCTATCAGGGAGATAAGTTGATATAGTAAGACAAAGTTCATCTTGTTTGCAGTATGAGCTTATTCTTTTAACTGACCAATGAGTCATCATTGTACAGGAAACTGTCACTGTGCTATGGTCAGATCATCCCTGTGTTTAAGCTACTCTACAATTTTAAGTCATACATCCATGAAAACTGCTCTAACTTTGCAAATTTTAAGATACTCTTAATGTATGCTTCTCCCACACTGTATAAAGTAATAAAGTCCTCTAGTGTCTTACTAGATATTAATTTTTAATATCATTCGTAAATAAACGTTACCTGATGTGTAAAACCAGCTTGAGAATCTTTTGTGTTTCTCTATAACCCCATTAATGACAAAAAAATCTCCAAATAACTAAGTAGAATATGCATTATTTTCAAACTTAAACTATTTTTATTTTCGTTTTCTCTACTACCTGTATTATTGCACTATTTGTATCTAGTCTTATTGGTATGCACACCTTACATAATGACAATTGGAAAATTTTCCTTTTTAAAAAAATCATTTTTATATAGAAAACAAACTTATGGTTACCAAATGAAAGAGTAAAGGGGTGAGGGACAAATTGGGGGAATGGGATTAATAGATACAAACTACTGTATATAAAATAGGTAATCAACAAGGGAATGCTGTATACCATCATCTTGTAATGACCTATACTGGTATCTGACTTGCTAAAATACTAAATCACTATGCTGTACATCTCACACTAACACAATATTGTAAATCAGTTGTACCTAAGTTTAAAAATATATTATTTTTAAATCAAAGGGAGGGGCATAAGTAGTCAAGGGATTGATTACTACATACCAGTGCTGTTGTTGGCTTGTTAATTCATATGATTTCTTATAATTTTCCCAGCTGGAAGCTAAAATAGGGCTGTTTCAGTCAGTTGCCAACACCTTTCTTTCCATTTGTTCTGGACAGTTGTCCCTGTGTGTCATGGGAGATTTGTTCTAGGACCCGCCCCAGGTACAGTAATACGCAGGTGCTTCCGTGCCTTAGTCAGCCCCGTGTATCTGCGGATTCTGCATCCTCAGATAACAACCAACTGAGGATCATAAACATTGTATTGTACATGGTCTGCGGTTGGTGGAGGCCGTGGATGCGGAGGGCCAGCTGTGTATTTACTGAAGAAGTTAAGATATAAGTGGACCTGCGAGGTTCAAACCTATGTTGTTCAAGGGTCAACTGTATAAGGAAAGAATGGAAAAATCCAGTTATTTGCTGTTGGCATGTGTTTTTTTTTCCCTCATTCTCCTACAACTTTCCTAAACTTGTTCTGTTTATGCAATTTTTCTTTTTCTCTGAGTGATCAGTTTTCACCATATTTCCAGTTATTACACAGCTTTCATCCAATCCTAGGTTTTGCTGCCCTTCTGCCCACCTGTACAGCTGGTTGGGAGCTCGCTACTATGGAAAGTGAATTCTCTTTTCTCGGTAGTCATTGCTGTTACCCTCCTTGACTTTCATTCCCTTTTGTCATTTAAAGTTTTTGAAATCATTTTTTTTTCTGGAAGTTGATTTGGTTGATTCTCCTCTATCCTTTGTCCTCCTTCATCACTTCAAGCTAGATTTTGCTTTCCTTTAAATCTCAAACAGATTTTTACCCTTGGTTATGAAGATAGTCGATGATCGGCAAACTTGATGCTTATATTCATTGGATCCAGTAAAATAAATTCAAGATTTTTATTTAATACTGTTCACACACATACACACACACAGCTTGCATGCATGCACATACACTACAATAAAGAAAATCTATGTAAATAATTGTGGTTCTCTTTCAGAAACATGATGGCCACTTCACAGTCATCCAGTTGGTTGGGATGCTCCGAGGCATTGCATCAGGAATGAAGTATCTTTCTGATATGGGTTATGTTCACCGAGATCTAGCAGCCAGGAATATACTGGTCAACAGCAACTTAGTATGCAAAGTGTCTGACTTTGGTCTCTCCCGGGTGCTAGAAGATGATCCAGAAGCTGCTTATACGACAACTGTAAGTTTGCACACCCTTTTCCAATATAGTTTGTTTACTTGTATTGCTGGTAATGTCATTAGAGTAATCCTGGCTTTGTCTTCCTAATTTTCTGCTCTCATTCATCATTTTCTCAATTTAACAACTTTATCTAATTGAGAAGTATTCGTTTTATCTGAGTGTGTGGTTTAAAAAGAATTGGTATATTTGACTGTTTTCTTTCTTCCACTGTGTGGGGACTGTCACATCATGCTTGAGGTCTATGTCATGACAGCGCTCACAAAAATCTGCCTTCACCTGAGGTATTTTTGATGCATCGATAATTATCTTCTTTACATGGCATTTTGTACAGGCCAGTGGTGCCATCAATTAAGTCAGTGATAGTGAAAAAATAGTGGTTATAAAATGATAATTTCTTTCTCATAGCAAATGTTATGGAATGATCTGATCATGCTTAAAAATGAACAACATAGGTTTCTCTGGAGACATAGGAATACACTTTAAACCTTTTTCTGAATGGTAATTGGGGAATATATGACCAGCAATCGAAGGTAAAACTTTAGAATCAAACTATCCTCTGTAAATTATATGATCTCAACTTAACTCATGAACCAATTTATTCCACTCATCTCTTTGATTATTATTTCAAGGAGTTAAGCCTCAAAGTCTCTCTTCACCTGTCAAAAAGCTTCACCATTATTCTTTTTTTAAACAAAACTCTCACCATTGACTCATTTGACAGTCTGCTTCAATGAAAAGTAAGTCAGTAAAACTAATCCAAGATGTTTTTATTCTCTTCTGTTTTTCTGATTTTACACATTACTTTAAAAGAGGCAAATCTTTTAATTAATTCTCTTTTATTTCATTTTCTATGAGATTTTTTGAAACTTCACTGTATTCAACTGCTCTAGAATGGATGAAAGTTTAATATTAGGCAAAAAACATCTTATGCCCTTACTATGTTTGCTTTGAAAAATCTTTTATATTAATTTATTGATGATATTTTCATGATTTTCTCCAAGAAAGAAATACAATTCTAAGGAAGATAAATTAATTTCTCGGAGTCTAATATATAAGGTATAAGATCTATTGATCTTTTAATTTGACCAAAAAGCTTCATAAAAATAAAAATCTGTCAAATTTTAAACTAAATTGTTCATTTTAGAAAAAGGATTGTTTTCAATTCGATTGGAAAACATCATAATTATTTTCTTTTTTCTCAAAGTTTTTATTTTCTCCTCTTTTATTTTTTATAAATGTAATACTTGAAGCAACTTTTCGAGTTATAGAGCAATTCATGTGGGATTTTTCCATTATGTGTATTATTTCCAACCTTAGAAAATAATGTTTAAAGTTATTATGTAAGTATCATAAAACACAAAGTTTGTAAAAATTGCAACAAATACAATCTACTAAAAGAACAAAATAAGATAGGAAATAATGAATAGTACAGGAAGTAACTACGAGGCTCCTTGGTGTATACCTATATAGATACACTTGAAATCCTTTATTAAATATTTTAACTGCTTTTTTAAAATGGGAAGCTCATAACTAAATTTAAAATACTAATAAAATTGGCAGGGTAACCCAAATCTTGAAGCATATATAGATTTTGTTGGGTCAGATTTGACATCCAGATTCCAGACATTTTCAGTCATATATGATTATAGAAACAGACAGGCCTGGAACAGTGCTGTCTTAATTTAAATATGACTATTGAATTAAACATCAAATTAGGTAACCAGAGAATAAGACTCCAAAAAATACCCCTAAAAAGCTATAGAGTCTATCTCGATTAAGAAATAAGTCTCTGATTTTGAGGTATCAATCAAATGGTAAATAATGTAACCAAGTACTTAAAAAAAACACTCAGAAATATCTAACTGCTCAAAGGATCCTGGGGTGCAAAATATCATACACTGATTACTTGACTTTCTAATAAGCATGGACATTCATCTTGCCTTCAAAGAGCTTCTTCCCCTTTGACTAGGTAGACAGACTCATGTTTCTTTGCTATTCAGTGCATTAAGTATTGTTGTAAGGCTCTGTAAAAGAAATGTGGAAGTTTCAGAAAACAAAGGTCTGGGGAAAGCATCACAAAAAAACATAAAATTTGAACCAAATACTAAAAGATTTCATTAGGCAGACAGTTGAAGAAAAGGTCCAGATAGAGGAAACAGAGAAAAAGACACGGCAATTTGAGGAAGTGGATGGGCATATTGATGCAAATGTGAACAGTTTGGAATGAGGGTGAAAAGCAGATGGGCCAGGTTTCTTAGGAATAATTGTGAAGGTAGTGAGATGACAATTCAAGAAATTTGAAGGTTTTTCTATAGTAATGAAGAGACAGAAATCGATAGATTTAAATAGAAAAATAATAAAATACATGCATGTTTTAGTAAGTATTATTGAAACAGTGTCAAGGAAGGCTTGAAGGACAGGAGGACTGGTAACAGAGAATAGTTAGGGCCTTATTGCTGTAGACCATAAAGGTCATATGGCTTTAATAAGGACAGTGGTATTTGGAATAAAGAGGGTAGAAAATTGAAAATTTTCATGAATGTACAATTTACATGGCTCAGTAACTAACTAGATACAAATTATAAAGATGAAGAAGGATTTAAAGATAACACCAATATTTCTAGATTGAACAACTAGTTGACTGGAGATGTTTTATTAATCAAGACAAGAGTTCCTGTTAGCAATGGCTTAGCTAATAGCATTAAATTACAAAGCAAAATTATAACAAAAGGTTACAGGTACTCTGTCTCAAACTCAACAAGATAATGCCTGATTGAACTTTGTCATTCTGTTGCAATTTTGTATAAAAATTTTAGGATTTCATGTAAATGTACTTTTTCTAGTTCCTGTTAAAAGGAATGAGATAGTTACAAAACTTGACTGCCTGGTGAATATATGCCTCAATACAAGCAAACCCTACAAAATAAAATACTGAAGAAGAATGGTCATTTATATAAAAATGATTCTTTGCTTTATAAAAACATTAACATGAAAATAAATAGCAAGCTCTCTTGATACATTTTTTTAAAGTATGATTCCATTTTTTAAAGTTTTAACTGTATATAACTTTCTTGAAACATATCTTTTACCTTAAATGATTCTGATCCTTTCTCTTGCTGTGTAAGTATAATTGCTATTTCCTTGTTTCTTTATACATGTTTTTATAATCTGCATCACAAAGGGTTTGGAGGAAAGGGAGGCTTTGTAAATGGTTTTAAAAACAGGAGAACATCATGGATAAAGTGTTTTTTTTTTGTTTTTTGGGGTTTTTTTGGAATCTTCAAGAAAATAGTTCTTAAAACAGTATGCCCCATTGAAACTATCATTTCTGAGACAAAATAGGGGCAGAATAAATAGACATTTTCCATTAAGGTGACTTTGCCAATTTAGAGAGCACATATCACAGCAAAGAGCAGTAACAACTAGTTAAAAGACAGGCTGGAAAGATGGAGTGACCAGTATGACTCCAGTACTGGCTAATGTACTGAACTGGTCAGCATGTGGTAGGTGAGCAGAATGACCATTGGAACCAGACTGGCCAGACCAGAAAGGAATATGACAAGAAAGATTGCTCTGCCAACAATTAGTGAGTCCTTTAGTGCCCTATTCAGAAGACCTATGCATGTAATATATGAAAATGTATTGTCTACACTCTAAAATACACTAAAGTAAGTAAAAGGATGAGATTTACAAGTGGTCATAAGTAGAAATTTTAGTATTTCTTCCTGCAACTTAAGAGTGTTTTTGCATTTCCCACTTCAAGTCTAAGACAATTCATTCAGCATGTATTCAACACAGTTGATTATGGAGCTACCATGTTTAAAGGCTCTGTTCCTTGGAAGGCCAATTACCAAAAATAAAAGGATTCTTGAGAATAGATGGCTGTACGGAGGGAGAACCAAGAGTAACCAAACAAATGAAGCGTAATAAAACCAATAGATGTGTGGACACCAAGAGTGGGCAGTGCAGCATGAAAAGCAACAGAAGTAGCAGATTTTCTTGGTAAGCCTTGTAATAAAATACATCAAGCCTTTGCAAAGGGACCTTAAGTACTGATGGCATGAAAACCAAGAAGTATGCATTGTGGGGAAAAAAAGGCACAAAAATAGAACCTAGAGAAGGCCTGAGAGGCCTTGCTTTTACGTGACAGTTCTGTGCAGAGCCTACCAGGCACACAGGGAAGGGAGACTGGTGAATGATTATGAACCACATCTAACAATACATATACAATCAGTGATATGTGGCTAACAATCTGCACGGAATTTACTGAGTTTGGACTGTTCTCATTTGATTATATGGTCTCCTTTCTGGTTATGATTTAAGTGCTAGGAAATCTTTTCCTTTACTGAATCTGACACACATTCACGTGGACAATTGTTTTACACCCAGTTCCAGAGAAGGGACTCTCTCTCATTTGACTATTACTAAGCAACCAGTCTTAAACTTACACTGAAAATGTTAAGCCTCTTTTCTCTCAGTTATGGAAATGAGATTTACCAAAAAAGAACATTAAAAGATAAATTATGGCACACTCTTACCTGTTTTAAGAAATAAGTTGTATTTAAAATACATATAATGGCAGTTGCTGTTCAGAATTTTTTTTAATTATAAAGAGTAACCCTATTTCTTATATTTTAAAGATCAAAACAAAATGAGTCATTTTATCACAATATTTGCTAAAAATTATAAAATTCCTTGATTCTAACTTTCCATTATGTTTATTTTGTGTTACCCAAGATAAATTTTGCTTTTTTTCTTTCTTAGTTGGCAGCATGTTACTTATAAGAAAGCACTTATTTCCGTATTAGTACTTTCTTAGTTGAAGTACAAAGTCTCCTTATTGACCACACATAATCTGCAAAATCACACTTATGTTGACATCTTAATTCTATTTACTTTGCATTCATAAGACTTCTCCAACTCTTCACCTCCCCTAGTCCACATAAGATATGAGGGAAGTCAATCTAAGGAAACACAATCTATACCCAACATGGAGATAA